TATATATATATATATATATATATATATATATATATATATATATATATATATATATATATATATATATATATATATATATATATATATATACATATAGACGGAGGAAACACCTGAGTGGAATAAAAATTTTATTCGTAATATTACTATCAAGCGCAATAATTTTTTTCTTTGCCAAAGCCAAAATTTTTTCCTTATTAGTGATATGAATAAGCAGCTACACAAGTTGAGTGAAACAAACTGCTTTGATAAAGTGACATCATTTCAATTAACAATCCATATAGATCGTAAAGTTGCAAATCAATTTTATATATTATTTAGTGCTATCGTTTCACTTATTGATGATATATGTATTTTTACAAATAAAAATTTCTATAAGTAGAAAATGGGTCTTCACTCTAAAATACTCATAATTCCATTCATTTATATTAGCAAATCTGGCCAAACCTGAATTTGTTGCAATGTCAAGTCGAGAAATGTCAGATCGTTTCGAACTGAAATCATAGACTTCGGACCTTTGCAACCCATCGATGTGCCCAAACCACCATTTAACTTTACAACTACTAGTTTGCTCAAACGATCTGATACTAGATCTTTGCTTGGATCATGCAGCTTCAACTGGAACAATTTTCTAATGAAAATAAAATAAAGTGGCAAGAAACAAAGTAGGAAAAACAATCCCGTCTCCTTACAAATACAAACATTATTTGTATAATATCTCGATCGCATGTTTCGTCTAAATCTCCGTTTTTTTTCTAGTACAGAAACTTTTCTAATGGGAATTAGAACCACATGCTAACAATATCATGTAAAACTGGATGAAAAGGAATTAATCAAATGTATGAAAGGAATACCTCTTTATAGGGTATAATCGCATTATCGGGCAGCGGCTGAATTTTTTTCCATTCAATAGTGGTTTTAGCATGCAGAAAACGTGAAAACAAAGTTCGAAAATAACCCAGTTCTTTTTGTACAGCCTAAAAATTATCAAGTATTGAAGTTGCGAAAATGATCTGAAGGGAAATTAGTAATCATCAAAAGTAATCATATAATCATCAAGTAACGAGAGAAAATTATTCGTGTTATTCACCTAAATATTTCTTTTCAGTAATCAAGATATTTTAAAGATGGATTTCTGAAAAAAACAAAGGGATTATTTGTAAAGTACATATACTTCCTAAACTTATAAACACCTCTCGCTGATAATGCTGGTTGTCTAGAAATGATGAAATTTTAGGAATCGCATATTCAATGGAAAAGAAAACATTCCTTCTGAACAGTTCAAACAGACCTCTTTCTGATCGGGTGGTGCTGTTTCTATGAGATTCCTCAATTCCTGCTCCATTCCTAGAAGAGTTTCGCGCTTTGTTGATGATTTCCATTCCTCTGAACTCTGAAAATTCTCAATTATCGAGAATAAATATTACTAAAAAAAATTACTGATCTATAATAAGTGAACAATGCGTAATGTAATTATCATACATTTACCATAGTGAAAGCAAACAAAAAAGGATGAATTTGAGAGAGCTAACAGATGTAGTTGATGTAATCAAGTGGAAAGGATAATTACCACGACCTGTATCAATTTCTAGGTTTAAATTCTTGAATGAAAGGATTTGAAAAAGCAATATTTGAAGAAACAACTGACATTTACTTCATCCATGGAAGGCATGATATGCAGATATAAAATTATAGTAGTACTGAAGACGTAAATGCAAACACACACACCAAGAGAATGATATCTTAGTAATCTGATGATGCGCTTTCTCACTAAAACCGAACACTATCCAGATAGCATACGAAAAGCTACAATGGCTGTGCGGAAAAAAGTAAAGAGCAGAAATTCTCCTCCTGACTCGATAAAAGTTTTTAGAAGCAAAATCGATAAAAACTGAAAGAACATTATATGATCCCCATGCAGAATGCCTCTCCTTCTAACTAACCTATCACGCATGCATCTGATTCTTGATACAGTTTTAGTTTAATTCAAATATATGAAGACGAAAAGACTAAGCAAATATATTGTTTTTTTTTCTTAATTTGAAGATTATCAATCTTTCTTATCCAATTCCAGCTTCGTCTAATTGTTCCATTTATTAAATCTCTTTTATTTCCCATTTTCTGGACAGTTATATTCATTTATCCTCATTTTATTCTTTTCCCTCTTGCTGTTATTCAATCTGCAGATGACCCAACCAAAAAAAAATTAACATAGCAGCGATGAACCAATTCAACAGATGAATGATATTTCCGCAACCTCAATTTGCTAAGTGATTCTGATTATGACCTTATAACCTGAGCCAAAATGTGGGTTAAAAAAAGAAACAATTTAAGGGAGGCAGACATCGTGAGCGGATAGTTGTAATTGGTCATGTTCAAAAAAAAATGCAATACTGAATAGGGTGATTGTGTTGATCTTATTACAACTGAAATTCAAAAATATTAGAAAAATTAGATGAGTAATAAAAAATTAAAGACCGAAGCAGTTAAATTTCAATTTAACATCAACAAGTACACAAACACTCAGTTCAAGAGGTTCAAAAAACAATTTCAAATTTAGTGCTAGAGTGTGAAAAAGATCCAGAAATGATTAACTGTTACATATGTTATGCTCATAATAGCATATCACAAGACCTACCAGCATTGCTGTTTCCAACGTAAAATGCATGATAAAACATTTGGAATAACTATTTTAACATATCTCTACTCGGTCAATATTTGCAATTCAAATTTTCACCGAAGGAATGCCGAAGTTCCGCACAGCACATGCATCTGATTTTAAAGTTATAAATACCATTTACAACCTTCCGAGGAAATTTTTAGTATATACTAACCACTTTAGTGACATTCACCTCTGATAGAATAATCCGGTATTATATACACATATTTTAAATAATATTAGAACAAAACAAGGCCGTAACTATCTCAGAGGTTTGGCCATACTTATGATGATGCACTCAAACGTCACTTATTTCTTAAATCTCAATTTATAATTTGAATAACTTCTGTTGTTACATTACTAAACACGCTCGATTATTGCTGACCACTCTTTTCGTTTGCTTCAGCATATTTGGGAGAAAAACAAAATTCAACTTGAAAAACCTACCATGCTCTAAAGATACCTAGCACTCCCACCTCATCCAAAAATGAAACTGAACATTTTTAAAGAGATATTTTACCTTATCAATCTCTTTCCGCATCATACTTTCGATCAAAATCAGCTTCAGCTATAACTGGGAACGACGATCAACTCCAAAAATTACGATCCTCCAATTGCTAAAAACCAAAGTTCATAATTTCTTTCGGCACGAGTACTTTGCTCCGTCGAGAATAAAATATTACAACGACTGATGTTTGCTTCCTTTCTCGAATAGTGTTGGAAATAAAAAAAAAAGTTACACCCAATTTTCTCCGGAGCTACAACAACTTGTCATTAAAAAATTCCTACATACCGTATGATTTTGATTAGAGAAATGATTAACAACATTGTAGGAACATGGAAGAATTGAAGTTATGGAAACTGATACATAAAAGCACAGATCTAATCTTAAGATGGCATAACATTGATTATTGGTTTGAAAACATAAATAGTGAGGACAACAATGATAACGGCAGGTGTTGGTTGAATAGACAAATACGTAGCAAAACACTGGAAGACATAAATCACTACAGTTGCGGACAACTCTGCAAATAAAAAGCGATCTCGATCGGTTTCGAAAAGCTAATAGTTTGGCCCATGAACTGAACTGCAGTTCAGTTTTTAAGATTATAATGAAAATGAAACATGATTAATTGAATATTTTACTCTTCAACGACAAAACATCGGAAGATAATGAATACACTGCAATTATAAAGGATTTATTTCTCATTCAAATCTGCCATACCAGAATAAAGAGAAATTTTGTTCAGTATTTCAATTAATAATATGCTTATCAGTTCTTTTGTTTTAAATACAGATATGCTGACCATATGACAATGGTGAATAGTGCTATAATGGCATGTGAAACACGAAAGAATGATCAAGAGACACGGATAATTTACGTTAGATATTATAATATGGCCTTTAGTAGCTCAAGTCCAAAGAAAAACTGATCAAGGGAAAAATCATTACCAATAATGGGAACTTTTTAGCAAAGAATTTGTGTACTTCAACACTATTTCCAACCTCTACATCTCTGAAATACACTAGCGATTTGTCATGTGATCCGTAACTTGGAGCACGTTTTGAACAACTGATGATCAACAACACATTGTAAACCTTACGAATGGAAGTTAACTACTAGGAACTACGAAATAAGATGAATTAAAGACCTGATGTTGTAAACATGTGCTGAAAGCAAAGTTCTCTGTGTATTACTTTCTGTCTTATCTCGATGAATTCAGAACATCTGATCAGAAAAAAACTTGATAGCTAGAACACAAAGATCAAAGATATATCCAATGTATAAAAAGTGTACTTTATAACCATTATCACAATTATCAAGATTAACAGCATAAAACTATTTCGTCATGCAGTGAGGTGAACATCAAAAGATTGCACTCAAATATATTTCCGGTAAATTTTCTGAAATAAAACAAACAACCAATGAAATTGACTAACGAGTCCAGTTAGTTTGCTGAGGAATACAGGAAATAGACATGAATGATTTTAAAAGAATAGACTGTAACTGATTCTCTGCAAAACAAACGCAAAAACTATGTACTACTACTCAAAGACATAGTCATAAAATCAAGGATGGACCATTCTGAAGACTACAGTGAACGAGCTTCAATCTAATTTAAATAAACTTTGCTAAGGAAACAACATAACTCAACTTATTGTGAAGCCTAAAAAAGACAAAAAGATCTAATGATATCTATCCTAAGAATTCGAAAAATTAATGAACATAACAGAATACAGGAGAAAAATGTGCTCACGCCAGAAACACTGAAAAAAAAACAAACCAATGATCAGAGGGCAAGCAGAAGGGAGTAAGGGAGCAACTGGTAAAGGATAGATAATTTCACTTAGCAGTAAATGTTAGCTAATGAGAAACACCTTAAGTCAGTCGACATGATCGGTTCACTGCAAAATCTAGCTTTCGTCAGCAATTTCATTCACGTCATCATCAACATTATCTGTTGATTGCGGACTGGATCATATCGCACTGTTGATTTTAATATTGAACCGATTTTAAACTGAAGTTAACTTCCTATTACTAAGACTTCCTCAGAATATTAAATTAAATTATAGACAACTGAGTGAAAGTATGAAAGTTCGCATATTCAACAACAATAAATCTTTCTCAGAAACCTATCATAGGACATCAGATTCATAATCATATCTTGGAAATCTGACAGAATGTGAGCACTGTAAAATAAACCCGAAGAGTTTCCCAATCTTGGATTAAAAAACCCTTCACTGTATTAAAAACTATTTTGATTATGGATAGATAACTGATTGAAGGTGCATGGTTGCAGTCAACAAAAGACAAAAGATAAGCTGTCAAAAAACTTGATTTCTAATCACAATCCCTTGGTTATTATTTGAGAAAGGAGAAAAAAGTACACTGAGGTCATATATAACCTCATCGATAATGTTGTATAAAATAGCAAAATGACTATGACTATGACTTATCAAACTGAACGTTAAGTTGGTTTTATTGCAAACAACTTGGGTTATAAAAGCGTAAAACAGGTCTAACACTTGACAAGTGTCCAATTTATGCAGCTTAACATGACACTTATCAGTAAGAATTGCTGCGGATTGAAATGAACAATCGAATAAAGTACTAATAACTTTCGGAAATATTAGAAATCCTGATCATATAACTGACTGCTATTCTATATTGAAATCTCTGCATTCGAAATCCATAATATTCAGAGATCAGTCTTATATAGTGTTCCCAATTTTTAAGCAAAGACAATATTTAGAATTTTTGGGAAATGATAATTAAGCAACCTTAAGCGCACGCTCTCGAAGATGGCCGGATAGTTCAGAATTAAGTCGGTAATGATCGCTTTTCTCAGCAGCCATTGTGTTCGGTAATAGATGACAATTTAATAGATGACACTAAAAATAATACAAGTTCGAGAATAAAAGTAAAATTATACAGCATGAGTAGCTTCTCCGTAAAACAGTAGAAAGTTAATTTCAGTGTTAAAGGAATTTTAATAATAACAAAATCTAAACATTCATAGTTTTCACTTTTAGTTTTTATAATCAACTGGATCATAGATGTGCAGTGAAAGAAACGCAAAAACTACACAATAATACGTCACTTAACACAAATCCACTACGACAATCCATTTTTGCTTGGTTTGCAGTGAATGCTTCCGAATTTTTTCCTTGCAAAATAGATAAAATAACTAGAAAATTTTCTTTTCTCTCATAACTTGAAGAAAATAAGGAAACTATTTGCAAATATTACTCATCCATTTTAATTTGATATGCAACATCCAGAACCTGATTTTGTCATAGTTAAAATAAGAAAAACGATTTAGAAAAAGGAAAATGATTACAATATTTTGGACATTCCAAAATATATGAAACAAGAGACGCAAATCAATCAAAATACCACTTTAGAGAAATAAGAAGTGCCAAAGAAAATTTAAAAGATATGAGAAATTCAGTGATAGTAACAGCTACCTCCATGCCTTCTCATCACAGGAACAATCTTTACCCTCTCTTTCAGGTACTTTTAGGTCGATAATACCTTTATCACATATTTTTTGACAATAGAAAATACGGAACATAATGGCAGAGGTCAATGAATTTTTGATTTCCTTCGAATTAATGGAACAAGAACCCACGGGATGATGTACAATCTGAGTTATTAATGTAAGAATGGAATGGTTTAATGATACAACAAGTATATAAATGGATGAATAGTAATTTGAAGGAAATTTTCTTGACCATATTTCCGGGAAAATGACACAACAAGTGCAACACCTAATGAAAACACATATTTAACAAGAAATGCAAATTTAAAGCAAAAAGAATGATCCAATTTGAAGTACGGGATGAGTTCGGATCTTACAACGTATAAGGAATTTATACACCTCATTAAGTGAAAGCATTTCGTTCCACCTGCGACTAGTAATATCTCTTAAACAGTATTTCTCACCGTCGTATTTCCCAGATTCCGAATTTTAAACTGAAAATACCGCTTGTTTTAGGAAGAAGGAATTTACGTTTTCTTTTCGTTTGCTTATCACTGTAGTCTGATGAAGAATAGTGTCAAAACTCATTTCACGTTGTATTACCTCGTATTTCAGTATGTAGAGATGTACGCTTTCAACAACGAAGGTTATATTAGTCACAGGAGAACAAAGGAGCTGTCAGCGAAATACTGGAACCAGCATTTTAGTGGCGTCAAAAAATTATTTCATGCAACAGCTACACGAAGCGTTCAACGATTAAGTTCGTTCAAGGAATAACTACATGACAACGAATGCTCTTGCAGTCCGTCTAAATGTTTCAGGAAAAAAGAAAGATGAGGAAACAATTGCAGAATATCAAGCAAGGAACAGACATCTTTCAATGCCGCTTCCACCATGTCATCGTTGCATTAAGTGTAACTTACAACAAAACATGAACTTCGTCAAATCGGTATTCAACATTCTCTGATATCAACTAATGGAACTATATATATTCTCTATAAATATTCAACCATTTATTCCATTGGTTACTTAGGACAGCACGTTATTCACTATCATCACAATACCTCCTCATTATCCTTCAAAAGAATAGTCTACAAATGAATCTAGCTACTTCACAGAGCAAAAGTTCTCTTCTCATTGCTGAAAGGCGATTCTACTTTCAAATCCGATGAACGAGAAGATGCGTACAAAACAAAAGATGCCAATATACCAAGATGGATGTGAGCTCTCCAGAAATAATTGCTTCCTCTTACTTTATACTTTAAACAAAATATTTCATTTAAATCCTTGCCAGCCAGATATACTACGATCCATCATTTGGAATTCCGCACAAAACGTGAATTAAGTTAGAGATTTCAGTATTTATACGCAAAGTTCGAAAAATGGTAAATGTCACTCAGAATACGAACGGGTAAGTAAAAAGATGGAGAAAGGTATTTCATGCTAATAATACGGAGCACAGCAGGGTTTAAAGTGGCCAAATTCATGGAAAGAATATTGGGAGTTTCAAATATTTTGACCGATTGCAGCATTTCAATATCTCGAGCAACAAAACTTATGCAGAACCAATGGAATCTTAAATCCGAGGCAGTGATCAAATCCACTATTAAAAAAAGAAACACCTTCCTAAACACTTTCCCAGTCCGAACTGGGACTTCCTAACTTCCAACCAAACTATGTATGGCAGTAGAAATTGTGTATAACTCCGCAGAAACTAACAGCCTGTCCCACTTTTCAGAAAAAGATACCTTTGTTCGTAAGATTTTTGGCATATCACCTTCCTACACTTCTCAGTATTCCATTCTACCTATCCATGTTCTGTCGCACCGACTTTATCAATAGAATAAGGAAGAGACGGTTTAACTTCCTTTCGAAATAAATTCAAATTAATAAATACGAGAATTTAAGCGAACAGAGAACAAAAAACTACAACTTTACTCATGCAGCCATTGGCTGCGTACGAAGGAAAAAACGATCAATGAACTAAGAAACAACTTATGAGGACCAGTCGATGCTTTCGAATGATTAATTTTAATTGCAAAAGGTTGTTGAACAAACTCGATTTTTATAAAACAATGTACCAACAATGTAAAAAAACAATCGGCTATATTACAAATTCCGTTGGAAAATTAAAAACTGATCACTTCTACCACGATTACTTCTACTGATCACTTCTACCACGTGATTTAAACAAGCGGTTATTATTAAGGCCTAATTTAATCCAATTTTTAGAATCTATTTTCTTCATATATCGCACAGCCTTCGCCCGTTGCACTGCTAGTGTTGCTGAAAATTTAACAGCTTTAGTTGGAAAAAATGTCAGAGATTTATTCAGAATATTTTCTTAGTGTTTTCCCAACAAATATAATTCAAAATTCATTTCAGACACAAACCAGATGTTCCCTTCCAACTCAGCTCTTTATATTGCTCAATTGTCGCTTTTTTGAGAATCTCTTTTCTTTGACGACCACTTCTAGTTTCATATTCCATCGGCTTCAAACGCTGTCTATAATAACGTAGTAACGAACGATGTCCAATTATTGCGCCTAAAAATTGGGAGATAAAGAAAATAACGAAAGGAAACTTCATAAAACTTCATCAATTTCCAAAAATTCTTTTACACTAGGAGAAATTTTCACCAACCAGATGGCAAAGTAAGTGTATATCCGTCATCCATTAAAACGATAGAAGATTTATCAACGTCTTCTTCTGGATATATGGAACTGAAACAATTAAAAAAAATTGCCATATATTTTGCAAAAGAAACAATCAATATGTTATACACTCATGTCTAAGCTTACCTATAATCATAAAAGTCCTCAAACTCGATCATTTCCTCCACACTGCGGGCAACACGGCAATGTCCCTTATCGCGCATATGTTTCTGACATGCATCTAATGAGCAGAATTTTTTCCGCTCATTACACACCAAGCACACATTACCACTACCAACTTTTAAACCTGAAGCATTTCCTTTTAGGAAGTATAAACGAGGAATTTGAAGACTGTGCAAGAGAATGTGAAGTAACTAAGTTTGCAATACAAAAGTGTATGTGCTACAAATATATATATATATATATATATATATATTTGTAGCACATATTGGCTAGAATGACAGCAGAGATATTACCTAAATAATGCAGCATGCCGCTAATGTCTGTGCAGAATTCTGCATCTGGAAGGAAAAATCCATGCAATACACTCATATGTATTAAATTTGTTTCCACATCGTTTGAACCATAATTGCAAAATAAACAAACTGTTTCCGGAATAACCTTCAAAAAACATTTCTTTTTCTTGATTACAAATCCATGTGATTGATTAACTAGATATTACAGAAAAACCAAATAAACCACCTTGGATTCATCGAAATCTTCGCCATCAGCATCATAATCAGTAATCCAATCGTTACTACCATCATTAGTACGATCACTTTCTTCAATGTCTACCTTATCGAAATGGTTATAATGGAGGTCATTTATCCGCTTTTCCATGACTGGCGCTTTGTTCGTTGTCCTCTAGAAATTACAGTTGATTTAACTTTTTGGATTTGAACTTATGAATGTTTACATCAAAAACAGTCATATGTGAAACGCGGCGCTTTTCAAACATCTGAACTTTTTTTAAAACTAATTTATATATATATATATATATATATATATATATATATATATATATA